TTGCACTCAGAGAAGAACCACTTCCAGCACTAACCTTAATCTTGTCAGTGTTGATCCGGATAGTATGTACTGTTGTGGGGGTTAGGCCAAGCACAGTGGCTATGTCCACAGCATGTTCCCCTTTTTCAAATCGGGTTAATACATCCATTTTCGTAGCCAGGGTAATGGTCTTACGTTGCCTCCTCACTACACTAGCATCAGTAGCATTTTATAGGCACTTGAAAGCCATTTCGAATGGTTAGAGTACAGTTTTAGAGCAAAAGTACTTAAGCAAATACGAATGATGTGAAGTCGTAACAGAGACTGGCTTGGGAACGCTGTGACGCTCCGTGAGTGAGGGCAGCATGCCGAGCCGAGAGAGTGTAGTGCGGCCAGACGAGAGTGGGTGATGCTCTGTAGAAAGTAGTCCGTGAACGCAAAACGACGTAGTATCGGATCGCCGAGACGTTAAAAGAAATTTTGGTCTCTAAAGTTTAGAGAACGTTGTACTAAAACAACGTTAAGCGGGACAACGTTATACGAGGACTTACTCTGTGTGTGTGTTTTTTTTTTAAGAGTAATGATATTGAGGATATTCATTGTATGGCACTATGGCATGGCAAATTAAAGGCAAATTTTCAGTGATTATAATTTATATGTGCAAAGGAAATTAATCTCTTGAGGTTATATCACTTTCACTATATAATTTTTTTCCCATACATAGGATTTGTTACATTATTATGAAATACTACTTGTGATCAATATATTTTCTGCTTTGTAAAATAATAATCCAGTACCTGGATGTTTTTGGTAAGCTCACTAAAAATTGTAGCCATTTAATTTAATTTTTATTTTTTATAACCCACAGGTTTTCAATAAGTGCCCCATGAGACCTATACTTTTAAGACATTCACTTACAGAATCTGCCCGCTTAGTAGAGGGTCTTAACAAATATTCAGCAGGGTACATTATGAGAGAAGTTATGACAATATATAGTTGTTGAAGCTGAACAACACTTTTCACTTCATCTAAATAGTGTTGAAAATTTGATCCGATAACAGCTGATTGAGTTCCAACAAAGAATCAGGTCAGGGTCAAAACCCATAATACAGTACCTGTATAGATTAAATCAATTCTGACCCGTTTGGTCATAAAAGGAAGTTTATACTCGTACTTTCTCAATTCCTGGTGTTTCACTAAATTGAGAAGAGCTCCTAATCTTAAATAGGCAGAATAGTTGCAAATATCTTCACATAGATCAACTAAGGACAATATGCTATTATAGCACTCTATTGTACCATATCTATTTATTACTACAGTATTTGATTGGTTATGCCACAGATTGGGGAGTGTTTTTTTGGTCACACAGTTGTCAGCCGTATAGAACTATAATGCCCATGCGCTGCAGTTAGATGGAGCGCACAAAATGAAATGAAGGTGGAATTCCTTTAAGCTGTAGTGGCCTTTGTGTCATGAGTTAGGTTTTGATCTGGACCTTTAGCAAACAGCCAGAAGAAATGAGATAAAATCTTTGACCATGGTTAAAATGGATGAGGGAGTGCTACTTGAAGCATAAACATTGTCCTACCTTGTCCATGAGGATAGTTTACCTTGCTGCTAACTTGTTATTGTCATTTGGCAATAGGTGGACTCTGTTGGAGGATGTTTTAACCCTAACTGTTGCAACCATCTAACAGGTGCAACAATTCTGAAAGAGTAGAATATCTGCTTAGGACTTGATGTATCATCATTTCTAATCCAGGGGCATAACACTGCTAACCTCACCATTTTATAATCAACTGAAAAGAAACAAAAGCAAATCACAATGGAATATGTCAATATTCATGGATGTAATCAGGAGTGATAAGGACAGAGTGATTGGAAATATGATGGGTGAAAGGAACCTTGATATCCCTATTTTATGTGAAATAGAGCTTGGGGGTAAAGGGACAAATTGAAGGAGTGTCAGAGAGCAAAAGAAAGGTGTAGAGGTTTTTCTACTTGATGATATGTAAAATTAGAACATAAGGATGCCACTTGCAGAATATTGTGAATCAGGTTAAGAGTAGGGAAAGAAGGTGGGTTACAATGAATACACTTGAACAATATATTTATATTGAAGGCTTTGTGAAAATGTTAATGATAGAGATGGGAAATTTAAATGGAAGAATTGGTGATAGGGAAGTGAAGGGGATTGATAGAAATGTGTGCTGAGAGAGAGGGTTGATAATGGAGAATACAGTACAGTATATGGTTCAAAATAGAAGAACTTTGTTTACACCCTGTACTGTGTATACATGGTGGTAGGATACTGAAGAAGATATAAGATTGTTACACTACTTGATAATGGAGAGAAGAATTAAATGTAATTTTAAGTAATGTGAATTCACTACTATTACTTAGTAGAAGCGATATTATTAGTGATTGGATGGTTCGGTATGAGAGAGAGATAAATAAATAGGGTTTAAAAAGTCAATGGGCTGAAGAAACAATGTAGCTGATATATTTAAAGAAATTATTAAAACATGGTTGGTACATGTATACAGGTGGGGGGTAAAGGGGAGGGGTTGAAGATTGGGAGCAGTTGAGAAGCTCAGTTGTTGTAGGTGACCTTGAGCTAGTGGATAATCTGGAAGAAAAAGTTACAAATATCAGTGTATGAGTTTGGAAGTGAATGTACTTAGTGAAAATTGATAGTGAATATAAACAAAAGTGATTCAAATGTGTAGAAAAAGGCTACAGGGAAAAATAAATACCGGTATGTATGATTGGAGATAGTACATGTAGAATGTATTGAAGTGTGTCGGTTATATATAATGATTAGTGATGAATTGAACCGGAGAGTGGCAGAGGAAAAGAAAATAGATTGTGATAAATTGATGTTCGGTAATCATATTTTATATTAACAATGACTGGGAATAATGTTAAGGTCAAGAAATATCAACGCCAGAGCAATGAGAATAACTGTAGAGTCAAAATTAGAGGATAACATACAAAGGGTCCACAGAGGCCCTTGTTGCAACAAATACGGTTAATGGTGTGAATCTTGCACCTTGGTTATTTCTTCCCTTATGTCCTAAAATGGAATTTTATGTTTCAGTTTTCAAATAGGCTACATTACCGGTCACAGCAAAATAGTCTGACAGGCTGTTTTGGGCTATTTGGCTAGTCCATTGTTTATGTAATAGAAGTAATGATATATTAGTACAGTACATTGTGTTATGCAAGGAAAAACATGACTTATACTGTAATGATATTTATTTATACATTTTTATTTTTATTTTATTTTTTTAGTTATACATTATCCTAAACAAGGAATAATGTCCGTGGAAATGGCATGTAATTGTGTAGCCAATTTGCCACCCATTAGAACTTAGAGCAGATGAGGCTGAGCTGTGGGTCAATTTATACTGTAGAAAAGAATGTAATTGGATATAATTTTTTTTTGTGTTTAATGATAATTTCAGACAGAAAGAAGATTTTCTTTTATGACACTTTTAATGCATTTTACCCTAACTGAGATATCATGACTTTAAAATCAGAAAACTACTAGAAAAGGTATTATTGCATTTGTTGCCATCAACCGAATCATGGAAATTTTATCTTTGCAGCCAATAGGTTAGACAATTCTAAGACATTTTCTTCAATGACGTTTCCCTCACAAAAGAACTGGAACCCCCGGTTAGGTAGGTTTGGTTGGTTAGGATAACTTAATTAGTAATATGTGGTTGATAATACAGTAAATACTATATCATTAGTACTCTATTACAGAAATAGTGGATAACCCATAATTTAGCCAGTCTGGCTATGTTGCCGTGATTAGTAATTTAGCCACTGCCTTCAGTTTTCCAGTTTGGTTTTTTGCACTTTTACCAAATCATACAGTATAAATTTGAGGAAACTTGCTGTAAAGTTATAAGGATGATTTTCCCTTATTATAGCAACAAAGCCATGAGCCTCACCAGAAAAATTATCATGTTTTATATAAGTCAAAAGGAATTTTAATTTATTAAGTACAGTACAGGAGTTCCCAGATGTTATGTAACAAATCCAAAATGTATTTTTAAGAATTTTCTGCCTGAACTTTTGCCCCATGTATAATAATGATTGATTTTAAAATTAATTTACCTGGTAACTTAAATATTATGGTAATAACCAGAGTTTTAATGGGTAATTTTGAGGTAATTTTCAGAGTTGATTTTACCAGAAAATATTGTCATGTACATTATTGACACTTTTAAAAAAAAAAATTATTTTTGTATTTGATATTATTTAATATTGTCTCTATAATACATAAATTGATAAAACATCCAGAGAATAATTCTTTATCTCAAGTAGTCTGAATATTTTAATGACTGAAGCATGGCAACTGTTATCTTGTTTGTGTGTAGATGTCGCGTGTAATTCCCTGCCTGTGTATGTATTGCATGGCCAGCCATTATTTTGACCTGGTGAAAGACCATAGGCCGAGACTCACCTGCTGTGCTCATACTAGGACTGGCTCAGTATTGTGACTTGCTCATTCTCTTGCTTTGCCAGTGCAGGTATTAAAAATTTACCAGTTGCCTTCATTTAACCTGAAGAGCTTTTTCAGTTATTTTGATACTGATTGATTTTAATGTTCTTAATGATAGAATTGTCCATGATTAGTGAAGTATAGAACAAATTATAGTACTTAAAGCTTTTGTATTTGCTTTTGTACTTTGTATATGTTTCTTTATGAACTACTCATAATCATTCTTTGAATGTTAGGGCAAAAAATAATCTTGGCCTTTAAAATTTATGCGGTATGCTGGCTTATGAGTAAATCATTAATGTGTAGTCATGATTTAGTAAATGAAAAGTATCATCAGTCTTCAAAAAAAAAAAATAAATAAATAACAAAAAATAAAAATAAAAGCAATATTGGGAAGTAATCCATAAGGTCAGACCCATGTGAGAGCACAGTGGGGGAGCAGTGAAGCTTTGAATACTTGCGTGGAGTAGCTTAGTAACTGCTATCCCTTCCTCTTGTTGTTCAGCCCGACCAGCGAGAGGGGGTAATAACCAATCAACCAGGCCCATCAAGTTCCAAAGTAAGTATGTCCTAAGGTAACTATGATCCAAGAAGTTTTCATTGATTTGGAATAGATCAGCCATTGAGTTATAAAATGTGATTTCTTTTATGTATTAACACCTTTGCTATTTTAATGTATCTATAACTTCAGTTATGTCACTGTAATATGTTGATGTATTTGACAAATTTAAGTTGTGCAGTTTTTGCCTGGCTTGGAACTCCTACTGGTCACTTTTTGAAGCATTCTATAATACAGTCTGACCTCGCAAATTCGTGCTAATTGGTATCCCACCATGCCCGAATTTCCGAAAGGCACGGATTTGTGGAACAAGCATAGGAAAACTTGCTAATCATTTGCTAATAAATAAATCTAATTGTACAACATAAATCTTTGTTGTTTCAAACTTACACTCCAATGCCATATTTATGGACAGTTCTTGAACACTAATTTCACTATTTGAACAATATGGTTCCGAGTTAAACGATTTAGTGAGCACAAGGTTAGCATAATTTGAACAAATTTCAAATGAAATGTCAAAAATGATCAGAAATTGCTATGATAAACTATAAAATTGATTCATAGCATATCATAAAATATAATAGCACATAATTTATATACAAAAAATAGCCCCTTCCACACTCAAACCATCCTCTGGGCAATGTGACACAGTTAGCCAGGCAGCCACCCAGCTGACTCAGAGATGTACGGCTGCAACCGCGGTGCGCTGTGTGTTTGCCTTGATGTTACATTGGGGGAGGGAGCATGGCTGGCTGCTGGGCCATTGAGTCGACGACACACTTACAGCTCACTACCTCAATACATATTTATATTCACTTACCACATATACACATCCATTCTCTTAATTTTTCTTATTTTAAAGTACAGCTAGACCCCGACTTACGACGGGGTTAGGGACCCAAATCCAGGTCGTAAGTCCGACATAGATAAAAAATCTACAATGAAATACAGTACAGTAAAAGTAATAAATAATGAGGAATGGATACAGTACAGTGAAAGTAATAAATAATGAGGAATGGATACAGTGTGACTGAGCACTTACCTATAATGTAGTCAGCTGAATGCACATGGGGCCCCATAATTTTCTAATTATACATGGAGACTACATTAAATGGAAACGTTTCGGTATAGAAAATGCGTGTGTCATTTGAAAAAAAAAATGGTCACAACTGCGGCGGTCGTAAGTCCCGACGATCGTAAGTCGAAGCAGTCGTGAGTCGGGGTCTAGTTGTATTGTAATTTCTTTATTTCTAAGCCACATTAAAGTAGTGTAATAATTTTATTTTATTTTTTCTCATATGAGCATGGACAAGAAATAAACACGGTAATTGGGGAACGCTCATGAAAATGCACGGATTTGCGGAAAACCAGACTTCTGAGACATGAATTTGCCAATTTTATACTCAACCTCCCATTTGTTCCTTGCCAACAGGATACTAAAACCCCTTTACCTTCAGCTTTATCCCCAATCTTATGTCAAGTCGTCCAGTTTTGGCAACTAAATTTCCTGCAAGAAACAAAGTATGAAGTGGCATGGAATTACACAGGTCACTTGTTGGATGACCTGTAGATCATGTAACAAAAGATTGGGGTTTGGTATATCAATTAATTCTTTTGTCCTTCCTTAGTAGGTTTCTGTATTGTCAAGAAGATGGTAGTATTGATGTCTGAGACCCAAGTTTAAGATGGGATTAAGTGAAGCAAAGGTTTCATCCCAGGTACCTATTCCATGGCTAGCTCTCAAAGCAACCATTGAGGCATGGTCAGAGCTTGCTTCATAAATCATGGTTTGTTAGAATTAGTGGCTGTTTATGCATCCTTTTTCTTGATTCAAATGCAGTTTTCCTGCCTCAAGAATATAGATGCCTCCCTGCACAAGACAAAATTCTGTGGGGATCTCTCCCATAGCTAGAAAGTGGGATATCATACTGCTTTAGAACATGATTTCAGAACCAGTTACAGTAGTAATAGCATAATTGAGGGATTGTGAAGATGATATGAAGCTGCCAGTTTTAATATTGTGAAAATTATTCTGTGAGATAAAAAAATTAATTGATGAAAGAAGTTGTCTGTTAAGGTAAAAAAGAGTGGGGGGGGGGATTTTGCAATATATTATATACAGTACATTCATTAATAATGATGATAACAGTTGAGGGTTAATATTAGTTAATGATTCAATCTCTCACATCATGCCTTTGGAACCCCCACAAGGGAATATCCATGACAAAAAAACCTCCAGGACACTGTATCTAATAATGCTCTATTAGCATGGTTCAATTATAATCTTTCTCCTAGACACTCATCCAATCCCTATTCTAGGATGTTAAATGCATTAAATTTATTTTAATGTCAAGTTACAGTCTTGCAGTGTAGGGTAAGTGACTTGAGGGAATTGTTTGGCATTTGCCAAATAAAATACTACTGTAATACTGAATTAAAAGTGGTGTCCCTGAAGTGAAGGGGTTAGTGGTTATTTTGAGCAATTTTCATTTACACACATACCAGAAAAGAAAACCTAGGACAGAATTTATTATTTTAATGTACTAAAATATAATAAATTTTCAATCAAATTTAAACTTTAACCTCAGAAACCACATGTCTGTCTGTAAGGAATCTTCTTTGGGGCCTTATAGAATACAGTACTATACTGTACTTAACTTGCAGGTATTTGGTGGTGCCCTCACACATACCTTATTCTCTTCTTTTTATAGTAAGACCCTGTTGGATTGTGAGGCTATATTCCTGCACCTTTCATGAGGCATTGGATGAAATTGAGGTTTAAAAAATGTTGAAAAAAATTAACATTACGGTATACAGTAAGCACAGGTACTGTATACTTTCAAAAGTTGTGTAATTTCTATATCTGTACAGTACAGCACTTAACTACAGCAGTTGGTACAGTATTATAAAAATACTAAATACCTTATGCAGCCAAAAGAAAAAAAAGTAGAGCAAGATTTGCTGTTCTAAGTAAATTTGGTGAGAAACTGTATTTAGGAAATTTTTTATAGTTTTTAAACCGTTTCATTGAATTTTGAAAAGGGTAAGTACAGTACATGCACTATAATTAACAAGAGTGAAATACATGCTCTCATGTCCTTGTGCTACATTAATGGTCAGATGGTCATACAGAGTCTTCCTGAAAATTGTTGCTAGCCACTCTCCATCTTGTACCGTAGCTAAAACAACTATCTGTGCAGGTGGGGGTTGATATGCTATGAAATTTTACGTGTGACTAGTGGCAGCCCTCATATACCAAAATTTATCTTCCATGGTCTCATATTGCTTCCCACAAAGTATGCACAGATAGTTGTTTTAGCTGCTTTACAATGTAATGAGAAAAACTCACCAGTGGTATTTGAAGCATAATTTGAAAGTCCTACCTGCTGCTTTGACTATCATCCAGTTGAAGGATGGGTAACTTTAACTTGTTTAAAAAAAAATAGAATGAGGGTTGCTTCACAATGTATGGTACAGTATTTACTGTACAGTATAAGGGAAATTTAAAAAGGTAAGCTATTAAAGACTGGATAATGTAAATGTTGTGAAATGCTAGGATATCAAGAAATTGGAATACAGTCTCTCCTCATCTTACGACATATTCGACTGGCGACAACCTGGACATACGACGGCCATGGTCGTATAAAATATTTTTCTCATTACGTATTTTCGAGTCCCGACCAAAGTGATCGCGCTGTGTACTGACAAAATTTTGTGTGTAATTCCCTTTAAAATGGCTGGCAAGAGTAAAAGTGAGAGTCCTCGTGGTGCTGAGAAGAAAAAGAGTCACCCTTTTTAGAATTTCTATGTATTATTTTTGCCTTTTCGACTTACGACCTGGTCGTCGGGACAGAACCCCGTCGTAAGTCGAGGAGAGACTGTATTACTCTACATGATGGGTTGTATGGAGCCTTTGAAAGTGTTGCAGACCACTTTGTGATGTGTAACCAACTGAAATAGAGTCCAGCTTGAGAAAGATCATTCTCATAGTTCCCCCATAATTAGTGTTTTCACCAGGGCATAGAGCACATAGCCTGAGCACCTCACATTTAAGTAAAGGAATAGAGAACACTAGACAGAATTGTAATAGGTCACTCATACATGGTAAGTGTATTTTGTACTGCTGAACCACTCATGACCAGTGTAAATGGTAGAGACTAATTAAATATACAGTATAATGTTTGTCCTATTTTGTGAAGTGATCATTTTTCAGGCTATAAACTCTTAAAGTGAGAGAAGGAATTGATATTCTTAGACCAGACCAGGATTTTCTTTTTATAGAAGGGTTAGGTGATAAAGGACTGTAGTATGGCCTCATGCTTTTAAAACCATGTCACAGTAACCACTTTATTATAAAAGGGCATAAATTCCTCTTTGAATGTATCTTGAATTTTTTCAGCTTAAAATGGCTTTCGGGTATTACTGTACTGTACAGTACATTGAAAATATACAAATTTTATACAGTACAGTATTACATTATTGTGTTGGAAATTGCCATAGGTGATCGTGTCTCATTGCCACTTTAAGAAAAAAAAATGGATGCTAAAGCCACCATTTGTGGTACAGTACAGTAGTATGATTAATACCACATCATGTGATTCACATGTATAATACTTAACTAAAGAAATGAAAAGAGAAGATGAGTACAGTACAAGAACTTCAATTACGGTACAGTATTACCCTGCTTTACACGGTTTCACTTTCCGCGATTTCTCATTTACGCGGTAAATTGCCAGAACCGGACTTTCACTTTCCGCGGTGCATCTACTCATATACGCGGTGAAGTATAATTTTTTATTTTTTTTTAGCTCATAAAATTCATACAAATTACTTGGCCAGAATATAATTTACATTGCTGGAATTCTTACAATATGGTGATCATTTTGAATATAACCATCATGGATTTTGCATTAGACATACAAATTTTAGATCTAATGTAATAATTTGGTTTACACAAAACAAATATTTTATCGTTTGTGCAGAATATATGAGGTTTACATTCAAAATATTCCCTGACCTGCAAGGAATCCAGAAATTTCAAATTATATTATCCTAACTTTAGTCTGAGTTATTATTTATTACTAAAAATGTAAATATACAAGTTGTACCTCTCTAGTCCGGAAACTCCCGTGGTCCGGAACGATTTTAGTTTGTCCAATAGGTAGATAGGCAGCTTTTTTTTTTTTTTTTTTTTGGCTTATCTGAATTATTTTTATTATTACAAGAGTATTAAATTTTTGCCCCTCAGGCCCCAGTGTGGGTCAGTGACCTATGCCTGGGTGGGCTAATCCCCTTAAAAAACAAAAACAAAGCCGCGGGAAATTAAGGTTTGTTTACATCCGGCAGTTCGGCTGCTCTCTCTCTCTCTCTCTCTCTGCTTGTCTATACAGAGTACAACATTTAACCCTTCAATATATATGAGCAGTAAATAAGTGTTGCTTTCATATTCTTATGTAGAGTAATGACGATATGTTTTCACATGTGCGCACTTACATACCATTAATGGTTAGCTACTTCTATTGTTCCATTTATTAACATTAAATAACATTACTAAAAACAACCATATTAATTTTACTACAGCTACAACCAAGGTCTTATTTTCTTCAGTTTTATATGTAGAACCAGTCAGTCACTGGTTTTGTAATCAACGAAAACAATGCTGTCTCATTTCCTCGTGTTTTAATATTCTACGTATTATTAATGAATTGTATTGCTCATTTTGCACACATAAACATTAATTCAATAAAAATGACATTCAGTAATAACAATAATGAATCTTTTGTACATAAGAGAAATGACGCTGTTTACACGATTATGCACGTTGTCTGCATGTTGGCGGGCCGTTCAAACCATTCGAAATTCAAGTTTCCGCCGTCAAAATTTTTATTTATTTATTTTTTTGTGTTCCAATAAAATACGTTGAGAATTAAAAACTCGCGAAATTTGAGAAACTACTATACGACATTTAACCCTTCAATATGTCTTCAAAGAGACCATGATGCAGAGAAAGTTGTGCTAGTGCTTCCAAGCATAAGCACAAGTCACTATCTATCCAGAAAAAGGGTGAATTTCCATGGTCCGGCACCGGTCAGGTCCCGAGGTTGCCGGACTAGAGAGGTACAACCTTTACTATTTTTTCCCAAACGCTTCTCTGGTAGGGAGGGAAGGTGGTGGGTGGGGAGGGAGGGAGGGAGGGACCGACCCAGCTAGGGCGGAGTATTTTGATTGACAGATAGTGTCCTTGAAGAATATTTCTTTGTTTATTTACTGAAGATATGTGTTTTAGCTCATAAATTTCATACAAATTACCCGGCCAGAATATAATTTACATTGCTGGAATTCTTACAATATGGTGATCATTTTGAATATAAACATCATGGATTTTGCATTAGACATACAAATTTTAGATCTAATGTAATAATTTGGTTTACACAAAGCAAATATTTTATCTTTTGTGCAAAATATATGAAGTTTACATTCAAAATATTCCCTGACCTGCAAGGAATCCAGAAATGTCAATTATATTATCCTAACTTTAGTCTGAGGTATTATTTATTACTAAACGTTAAAATCTAGAGTTTTCACCCAAACATTAATCAGAGAGGTAGGAGCTAGTGAGCTGGGAAGGGGGGGAGGGGGATTTGAGTCCATTATTTAAATGGACATTAACCTGGCGACTGTATTTCTCTTAAATATTAATTGTGTGAGCATACCATCATAAAATTTAGATGTTATTTTTACTAAAACATAGGTATTGTGTCGGAAAAAGTGGAGTTTGGGGGTCGGGCCAGTCTCTATTGGAATTAATCCCATATGTTCTGTTGTTCACTTTACGCAGTTTTCACTTTCCGCGGTACCCTGTGGGTTCAATTGACCGCGTAAATCACGTAAATCGGGGTACTACTGTACTGTACCAATAATGCAGACTTGTTGTTCATGAATTAATATTGCAAAGGATGGGAATAAACTGGTAATTGGAGGAGGATTAAATTAATTGATTAATGCCACAGTTATGGTACTTTGGTGTCACTTAGCACACGGAAAACTGACTGTCCTTTCAGTCTTGAAGCATTATTTAAGCTTTTATATCATTTAAGCTTATGAGATACTTAGCTGGTATAAACTTTGATGCTTATGGAAATTTCAACTAACTCCACCAGTTCTTGATCACTACCCATTGTAGTATATTAAGGCACAGTCTTTATTGTAACTATTACAGGGATGTTAAATGTACAGTAGTAACAAGCTTCTTGTTTTAGTAAATACCGTATACAGTACAGTATAATATACTGTACGTACAATACTGTACTGTACAGTATACGGTTTCGGTGAATATTGAATTTCTTGCCTGTGAATATTAACCAAATAAAATTTTAAGTGATGTCCTGTAGTGAAGGGGTTAACGATGTTGGTATTTATTAAAATTTAAACATTTAAGGAGTATCATGGGTTCAAGAATTAGATTCCTACCCCTTAGGTAGCCAGATAGTTTTGTGCTAATAATTAATGGTCTGCAGAAGTATGTGTGTGCAGTATATATTAAACTAAGTTGGAAAAGAGATTCGCTTGAGATGTGTACCGTATTGTTCATGTGAGTTATCCCAGATTTAAAAAAATATATATAAATGTAAGTTAGTGTATCCTTAACATTGGTCCTCCTAAATTCTTAATTCCAATTATTTGATAAGTTATTGTACTTCAGTACTGGACCATACAGTACAGTATTAATAAATCTCATACCAACTTTAAATTACAGGAAGAAGTGAGTGATGAAGAACTGGAGAATGGAGGCAAAGCCATGGGGGACCCCAGTCAACCCATCACCTCACAACCTTCTACCAATCCTTTCAGGTAATATGGTGAATATTTTACTCAATTAATTGATGGTCATGAATAACAATAAAGTTTTCTTAATTTTAATAACAGTTTTGAAAGAAAAATGCTACTTTATAAAATGTTTACCGTATATACTCGAATACAATTTGAGTTTTTATTATTAAACTTTTATGTAAAAGTAGGGGGAAGAACTATATACTGTACTCAAAATATTTTTGATGGGTTAAAATTCATACATTTCTCAGGGACATTTACAATACAATGAATGATAGCTAACCGGTACTTGCTCGCAGTAGGTTAACCTTATCAGTAAGCTCCTTTATCCTGGGCTTGTCTACCACACTCCTAGATTGTTTCTTTATGTTGCTGCATGCAGAGCGGAACCTCATTCAGTATGTATGCCGCTTTAAATCTTTAAATACCCGATACAAATGTAGAGTTACAGATAATTTTCTTTTCATTTGTCTCCGATGATATCGCTTACGACATTGTTGCTAAGTTAGACTCGTCACTGTAGCCACACCCCCTAGCCCTCTCCCTACCAGGCAGAGCTGTGACATATACAGTAATGTTTATTTTTCAACTCATAATTTCGGGTAGATATACGATTTTTTTCTTTTGCATGCACAAAATCTTAAATACATATTGTGCAAAATAAATACCCCGTAATTATCATAAGGTCAAACACATAAAAGGAATAAACAATACTTTGCACCCAGGAGTGGGAGGAGGGAGCCGAGTGTGATGGGGAGGCTCCGTTGCTAGGGGGTAGACAGAGGCACTGTCCTAACTGGGCTGTGTTGCTATGGCAAGTTTTGAGGCCAAGCAGCCAACGTCTATGGTTTCTATGCAAATGGCAGTTGTGTTAAACTTTATTTAGCTTTTCCTTAATAATTTTAGCTGCCTTTTATTTTTTCATCTAGATTGTATACAAATGTTGCTTGAAGTAGTGCAATTGTTAAATATCATAAGAAAGGTAGGTGGTATGGCTTATGAATGCTGGGAAAGAAGGCTGTTACTGTACAGTACACTTTACATCTATAATAATATTCCTTAAGTTTTCCATATTTTTTGTTTGTTTTCAGTATTTTATATGAGTTTGTATTTGTAATAGTAACACAACACTTGTTATTATAGCCATATCCCTCTAGCCCTCTTTCTACCACTCCAGGCCAAGCTGTCAGCTATATTATGGATATTTTTAAACTTGTGGTTTTGGGGAGATAAATTGTATTTTTTTGTATTTTTTTTTTTTTTTTACTAAGCGAGGAATTGGGAAGTGAGGGATCTCAGCTGTTCCGAGCTGTCTTTTGAGTGCAGTGAAATGATTAACAAATTTCATCGTCCAGCAGCCAAATGACCATACAATATTTTTATTTATTTATTGGTATTTTTTTATTTCTTCCTTTCATTTATTGGTGTACAGGGAGCCCCCCCAAGTTCGTGGATTTTTATTTCGCAGTCCTCTATTATTCGCGGATTACACCCTGGATGTACCCAAGAATGTCTGTGGGTAGTTTTAAAGTTGCCGGCATTTTCGTTTCTGGGACAATGGAGCCATTTGTTTTAGAGACTGTAATTTCCTTTACCTGTATTGTAAATATATGTGTGTGTGTGTGTTAAGACACACAAATGCGCACACACAAAACACATACCAATAAATAATACCTGTAATTGGAAAATCCTTTCACAAATAATCAGAAACAAAGTTAAAAAAAATGTGACAGTCTACCCACAAGTCCATGTTTTATTAATAAAGTAATAAAGCACAGACTTTAGAGTAGACTCACATTTTCAATAAATTTGTTTCTGATCATTTGTGAAAGTATTTTCCCATTATTATTTATTTGTATGTGTTTTTGTGTGTCTACACACACACAGACAGACACACACAGACACACACACACACACACACACACTTGCACATACACATAATTATATGCAATACAGGTAAAAGAAATAATTATCCTAAGGGCAAACACTTAAAGGGAATATACATTTCTTTGTACACAAGTACAAATTGAACCCCCAGTTCGCAACGTAAATGTTATTCGCGGATTTGGCGATTTGCGGCTATTTTGAGAACCTAACCCCTGCGAATTTGGGGGATCCCTTTATAATTTTATTTTTTCCTCAGAAGAGTTGGTAACTGACGGGAATTCGGTTTCAAAGTTACTAACACTGTTCATAGCATCAGCTGTCATGGTGGTTGTAACAGCCAAGACACGTTGGTATGAAACTGGTGTCTTGCTACAAATTATGTCTATGCTTATACCTAGTATTGTACTGTATTTCTCAATAGCTTGGGTCAAATTATACCCAAAAACTATATACTGTATGAGATCGGTTTATACACGAGTATATACGGTATTCATAGACAGGAAATATCTTATTTAGAAGATTAACATAGAGTTTAGTTTTCTATATTATATAATAAATTTAATAAATGAAAACTAGAGTTCTTGAACATGGATTAGTTAGAATTTTTTATATTTTAATGGGTCTTCCTATCAGTGAATATATATATATAGTAGTACCCCGATTTACGCGGTCAATTGAACCCACAGGGTACCGCGTAAAGTGAACAACAGAACATATGGGATTAATTCCAATAGAGACTGGCCCGACCCCCAAACTCCACTTTTTCCGACACAATACCTATGTTGTAGTAAAGATAACATCTAAATTTTGTGATGGTATGCTCACACAATTAATATTTAAGAGAAATACAGTCGCCAGGTTAATGTCCATTCAAATAATGGACTCAAATCCCCCCTCCCCCCTCTTCCCAGCTCACTAGCTCCTACCTCTCTGATTAATGTTTGGGTGAAAACTCTAGATTTTAACGTTTAGTAATAAATAATACCTCAGACTAAAGTTAGGATAACATAATTGACATTTCTGGATTCCTTGCAGGTCAGGGAATATTTTGAATGTAAACTTCATATATTTTGCACAAAAGATAAAATATTTGCTTTGTGTAAACCAAATTATTACTTTAGATCTAAAATTTGTATGTCTAATGCAAAATCCATGATGTTTACATTCAAAATGATCATCATATTGTAAGAATTCCAGCAATGTAAATTATATTCTGGCCGGGTAATTTGTATAAATTTTATGAGCTAAATAAAAAAAAAAATTATACTTCTCCGCGTATATGAGTAGATGCACCGCGGAAAGTGAAAGTCTGGTTCTGGCAAGGTACCACGTAAATGAGAAATCGCGGAAAGTGAAACCGTGTAAAGCGGGGTAGTACTGTGTGTGTATATATGTATATATATATGTATATATATATATATGTATATATATATGTATATATATATGTATATATATATATATATATATATATATATATATATATATATATATATATATATATATATATATATATATATATATATATATATATATATATATATATATATATATATATATATATATATATATATATATATATATATATATATATATATTCCCTCCCTCCCTCCCTCCCTCCCTCCCTCCCTCCTTCCCTCCCTCCTCCTCCCTCCTTCCTTCCTTCCTCCCTTCCTCCCTCCCTCCCTCCTTCCCTCCCTTCCTTCCTTCCTTCCTTCCTTCCTTCCTTTGACTGAACATTTTTTTTTTATGACGTTATCCATTTCGTAATAGAAATAAAAATTCTTAGGGGTTGTGGTCATCAATGAGTGACCAATGAAATATCAGGTCACAGAATACCCTCACTACAGATCCATTTAATGCCATAGAGCATGATAATTTGATGGTATGACACATATCAAGTGTGAGGATGACACATGTCTAGTAAATTACACATTTACTGCCAATGCAGCTCTCTTTCCAGTCACACCTGGTGCCCTTAAAGTTATGGAGGTAACCACCATTGATGGCTGGATACCTTAAAAGAATGTGGGTAGGACTGAATGAAGAGTTACATTGGCAACAAATATTTTATTCTATTCAATAATACAGTACATAATTTTCCTTTCTGCTGCTGAATTATCTTGCCCTCTGGCAGTAGTGGCCTCTGTCATGGGGTGCTCAGTGTGCTGGGTCTCATCTGGCCTTCACTTTAGAGTCTGGCATAGAATAGGATTTCATGCTTTAATGCCTCATTTCTCTATGTATTAACTCACTTTACTTAAAAAGATACATTACTAATGTAACATTATAATCTCTTAATTTGTTCTATTTCCCTCTGTATTCTAGGATGCATGATGGTGTTTAGACACAATAAGTGTTTGGATTACATGTAGAGTATCAGTGTTTGTCTCACTTTAAATTCTCAATTTCAGTGATGTTCATTACTGAATTATTTAAAAGTATAAATAGCATGAGCACTTCCTCATATATTCTACTAAATGTGGACCTTATTTTACTATTAGAAGATGAATCTGTAGCAAATTCATTTGTACAGTACTGTATTTCAGCATGTGTTTAAGATTTATATTTTTTATTATCATTGTAACAAAAATTAATATTTTTAAATTGTCATTTGAAATTAGAAAGGAATTCCTCACCTTTGTGAATTTACAGGAAACCAGAGAATTCTGAGGAAAAGAAAGATTCTCCATCTTCTACTAACCCTTTCAGGTGACTCTTGTTTTAAGTTACACCATATCAAAATTCTGACAGTTTTTTGCATTTCTATTTTTATTTTTTTTTTAATGTATAATACACTGTATATCAGTTGTATACACAAAACATTATACAGTACTTTTACCTGTGTATGTTCTGCCATGCTCATAGGTACCTCTGCAAGCTACATATATTGACAAACGCACTGATATTAAGACTACTTCTTGGTGACTGAAATATATTAATAATTGATAAAACTTTTTCTTTTACATTTTACTTGGTCAGTCTTATCTCTGACAATGTTATTGTTGCAAATTGTTATAATTGGAATTTCTATATAAAGTAGCTTTGTTTAGGATTTCTTAAGTTACCTGTGAGTCTTCCAATGGCTTTGCCAAGCTGGTGCCTGTTAACCATTTGGTTTGGTTGCTGAGAATAGCCATAGACCAATAAGTCAACACCAGATGAAGCTCTTTAAACTGGTTGTGTTGAACATTGTTGAACATTTTGGTACAAGGAAACAAGAAACCTGATAAATCCTACTCTGCACTGTGAACCTTCAGTCAGGTCTGAGAAGATTCAGGCCGTTATTATTAAGACTATACACACAAAGTTAATTGTCCCAGTTATTTTTAACTTTCTCTACCTTCCCTTGTTTTGAAATATGCTTTGATATATTCTCATTAGTAGCTCTTATTGTTGTAATTGTGTGGTGATGATGAGGTAATAAATGCATACAGTAAGTCCACGGTTAATGTCGTGGTTACGTTTCTGTAAATTGCAATGTTATGTAAAACAAAGTTAGCAGATAAATTTTTTCCATAAGAAACTTAAGAAATAAGTAGGTAACAATCCCAACCCCCCTTCACCCCATAACATGCATCACAATTAAGACAATATAAACACAATTGTATATACCTGATTATTCAGCACTGTACACTTGTATAAATAATGTAAACTACAATAATGTATAATTTACATTATTTATTCACCGATGGCCAAAGGTGAAGCAAGCAAATAATGGGATGTTGGCAGGAGTCACTGAGACCCAGAGGGTTCTCCCCCTACCCCCACTTCCTGGTGGACATCTTGTGCTTCTTCTCCTGCTGTCTGATGTGAAGTCTGTTTTCCTCCTTAAAAAAAAAATCATCATCTAGGGCTAACTGCCGTATCAAGGCTGTTGTAATAGGAGGAAGGAAAGTGACTTAACATTATCACTGAGGTTAAGCGAATGTGCAGTAGTGTTGTCAATGAGGAGGAGAATTTTGAAGTCCATATTCTCCTTAGCACAATAATCCTTCCATGCAGGGAGTGCATGGACAGAGAGACACTGCTAAAATGGGTACTGGTCATTCACTCCTCCTTAAGAGATCTGTAAATTACAGGGAGGTGATCCTTCAAATAACCATTAAGGCACAAGGGTTGACAGCATGTGAAATCAGGAGGCTTATCTTGAAGTCTCCTGAAGCGTTTCTCCCAAGCAGCAATATTATTCGGTCTTTTGCTGCTTTAAAGCTGGGAGCAGTCCTTTCTATTTGGACAATATATGTTCTGTTGAGCATATGCTTCCCAAAAAGCCCAACATAAAGACACTTGTTTGGTCGAGTACCCCCCTCTTCCTCGACCATTTTCTTTAACTCTGGGATAAAATTTTCTCCAGCTACGATATCAGCGCTGGCTGCCTCACCAGTCACTTTGATATGAAAACTGTACCATTGCTTAAAATGCCGAAACCAACCTCAGCTGGCATTAAACTTTTCATCTTTAGAGCTTTCGCCTTCCTTGGCCTTTATGTCATCAAACAAAGACTTGGCTTTATGTTGCATAACAACACAGGAGCATTGTGTTGATTTTGGTGTTCGGTCCAAATCGCGAGCATTTTTTCCATTTTCTCCATCACTCCACTGGTCCTAATTTTCTCAGCACTAGCATGAATAGTCTGCACCATGGTAGCAGCTAAGCCCAGCGCTACCCCTATATCCTCAGCCGGCTTTAAAGTGACGTAAAACATCCATCTTCATTGCAAAACTGATGCCCTACCATTGCCTCTTGCAACTAGCACTACAAACAGAATTGCTTTCTGGTCATTTTGAAACCATTTCAATAGGTAAAGTAGAGTAAAATATAAAACAAGGTGAACACGAGGTACACAGAACGTGCAACAAAATTCTCACTCGGCAGAGGCGTAAGCGAGACTGATGCTCCATGGTTACGTTGTACAGCATCACTAAGCAGATGGGGAAGTGTTGCACAGAGCAAAGTAGTGCCGTCTGACTGACAACATAATAACGAATTCACACAACATTGTGTTGAGCCTTGGTATAGAAATCGTATCATAATAATGAAAGAATGTTAAATGGGACAATGTATTTTAAGAATTTTATTCACTGTTTGAAATATGACACTGGCTTATTGGGAAAATAAAAGTCCCTTTCTTGAGTCTTTTGAGGCTTCTTTAAAGTGCCTGTTGTACTTTTTTCACCCATTTTCTGTGAATTTGGAGAGAATTGTATACTGTATAGTGTCTGGTGTGGTCATTGTAGTTAACCAGGGATGTTATCTCCAGAATGCCAGGTTGCCCATAATTGTTTAAGCAATGACTTGATCAAGATTTACTACATAGGTGAATAAGTCTGGTGCAATCTGTGATTTGGTTAGGTTAGATATATTCCCTATGAATCAGAGCAATTAACTCTTCATAGACACGAAGAGGTGGTACTATTTTCTCTCTTGAATTTGCCTCATTGCTTTATATTTTCTTTATTGATATTGACTGGTTGCTCTCTGGGTGAATGCGAGTCCCATTGACAAGATGGCCCATTATGGGCATTGTGGATACAGCATGTGGAGACTACAGCGCATTCTGGAGGGAATTTTATATATATATATATATATATATATATATATATATATATATATATATATATATATATATATATATATATATATATATATATATATATATATATATATATATATATATATATATACATACATACATACATATATACATACATACATACATACATACATACATACATACATATATATATATATATATATATATATATATATATATATATATATATATATATATATATATATACATACAGTTGGTCCTCACATTACGCGGTTAATGTAACCCAGAGGGTCCCGCGGAAAGTGAGGAACGCGGAAAGTGAATAACATAACATATGGGATTAATTGAAATGGAGTCCAGGCCGATCCCCAAACTCCACTTTTTGACGACACACAACTATGTTGTAGTAAAAATTTTATCTTAACTTTATGATGGTATGAAAAAACAAGTAATATAGAAGAGGTTAGGTTAGGAAAGATAAAGGTTAACATAGGAAAAATAAAGAATAGGTTAAAAAACTAAAAATTTTGTGGAACACTTACGGTAGTAGAAGAGATGGGTCGGCATACGGGGATGGAGGCTGGTTCCGAGGCAGAGGGCAGATTACTGGCCCTCAGGTGAATCACCATTACTAGGTGAATCATCATCACTGTCACTTACAGTTGTCAGGGCTTCCCTGACAAATCCCTCAAAGTCAACTTCACTGTCACTATCACTGGCTTGGGCTGGCTGTGGTGGGTTGCGGGTGAAGAAATCTGTTATGCTTTGCTGACGGCTGGCGTTGATGTTGTCGTGATACACCGTGATGTACGGCTCCATAGCCTGCACCAGCCGGTTATGGAAGACTTCATAGCGGTCATCGTCATTGTCGCGGGAAAGGACGGACTTAATTTTCTCTGCAAACTCCATGGCACACTTAATATCACTATGACTTAAACTGTGTTCTTCGGAGACTGACGCACCTTCTTCCTCCTCTTCACTGACGTGTTCTTCTTCCATCATCTCGTCGGCAGTCACTTCAGGATCTCTGATCACCTCCAGGATGTCGTCGTTGGTGGTCTCGGAGAAGCCTGGAACTGTAACAGTCTGCGCAGCTTCTCTGGCAAGGTCCACTGCTACTGCAACATTCTGAACCTCACCAGTCACAGATTGACTCCTCCTCTCACCTGGTATTCCATGCAACACATGTCTCCATGCGTGACGAATTGTAGCAATAGACAGCTGATCCCATGACTCCACCAAGATGTCCACAGCTTTCTTGATGTTAAATATTCTCCAGAATTGTTTGAAGAGTATTTTTTGCTGTTCTAACCGTTGTTCCTCATCTTCGTCGCTCTTGCTATCGGTGGTGGTGTCACTCAGGTCACGCAACTCTTCCCTGGTGTTGGTGTAGTCGTTCAGGAGCTGGAATTTTTTGTTGAGAATGCAGCTTTCACATTGCAAATCAACTCCTGGTCCATGGGCTGTAATATAGACGTAGTGTTGGGAGGAAGGAAGACCACTTTTACGTTGGGGTGACGATCTAACAGTAGGGGCGAGTGTCCTGGTGCGTTGTCCAGCAGCAACAAAATATTAAATGGGACATTCTGTTGCTCACAGAATTTCTTTACATCGGGAACAAAACAGTCATCAAACCAGGAGAGGGACAGTGTAGAGAACATCCATGCCTTACGTGCTGTCAGCCAGTGGACATTTAGCTTGGTCATGTCCATGGTTTTGTAGGCGTGCGGCTTGCGGGCTGTGTGGATCACCGATAACTTGAGCTTACAGGTACCGGAGGCATTGGTGGCAAACAGGACGGTGATGCGTTCCTTCTGCATTTTCCGGCCCCGAATCCTGCTGGCATTCTTCACAATGTAGGACTTGGAAGGTAGTTTTCTCCAGAAAAGACCAGATTCGTCCATGTTAAACACCTGGTCGTCACTGTACTGTCCTTCCTCCATAATCTCACGTAAAAACGGAGGAAATTCCCGAGCCGCAGCACGATCAGCACTCGCTTCTTCACCACCAATGTTTATATTGGTGATCTTGTTCCGGATCTTAAACCTCTGTAACCACCCAGAGGAAGCAGTAAAGGGTTTGGGCTCTGAAGTTCCCATCTTTCGTGCCACTGCCATGTACAGTTCACGTGCGTAGTCCTTCACAGAGCGCGTGT